GTTTTTTAACGTTACTCTATATATTATGTACACCAAATGGGGCGTTTTAATAATAAAAATGTATTATTGAGCAAATAGATAGTTGGCTTAAGTTATTTTCCTATGTGCAATGTGCAAATTTAATTACTAGGATTTTTAATCAGAAATTTTAAATATTTTAACAATAATACAACAAGTTTTTAATGTCATAAGCACTCTTACTTGTTGATACCACTTGGGTGATGTTTATTATAAGTTTTAGCGATAAATAAATCTATGGAATGTATTTACTAATTTGAAAACTATCCATATTATTCTGTCGATGCAAATGCTCTCTATTGGTGAAATTTTGCAAGCACACGAAAGTTTCGATTTGCATCACGAGAGCAGAATGTTTAAGGAGGTAGCGGACAAATATGAGGAACAGGAGTTTAGTTAGCATTACGCTATTATTCTGTCGATGCAGATGCTCTCTGTTGGTAAAATTTTCCAAACACACAAAAGTCCCGATTTGCATCAGGAGAGCAGAATGTTAAAGAAGGTAGCGGACAAATATGAGGAACAGGAGTTTAGCGTTACGCTATTATTCCATCGATGCAAATGCTCCTCTCTATTGGCGAAATTTTACAACCGTATGAAAGTTTCGATTTGTATCAGGAGAGCAGAATGTTAGAGGAGGTAGCGGACAAATATGAGGAACAGGAGTTTAGCGTTACGCTATCCAACATCCAATGTATCGATGTATGTAAGGATATTCAATATCAGTATATTGACAGTTCAAATATACAATAAACCAAAGTTTTTAGGAGATTTATTTAATGGTTTAAGTTGGTTACTTAAATACTACGAATACAAAATCTAATACCTATTTAAGTTGATCAGAATAAATAATTTGTAAATTGTTATAAATTAAGAAATACTCATAATTATCAGTGTCTTTCTTTGTGCTAATATAAAGGCAATGCTATTATTTTTGTTCTAACAAATGTAGGGGCGTTCGTTTATACTTAGAACAAGTAAACATCAACTACTATAAAAACATATATTTACACTCCCAAACGGTAGACAATGTGTAAAGGCAGTTCGTCAGGTGGTCGATCGAGAGAATACATCTGAAATCAATTTAGAAAAAG